AGGAATAGGCAATCCACTGAATTCACAGTCCCTGACTTTGCTCTCCCTGGCTATAGGAATAAGAAAAACACACCGAGGTGATGGCTGTCTGCCCAGGCACAGAGCAGTGGGGCTGAGATCCCTGTCTCTCACCAACTCAATCAGCACTTTCAGTTCAACCTGCTGACCAACAGCATTTGGCACTGGGTGGGCTGCAAAAAGCACAGAACCTTTTAAAATACAAATAGCTAAAATAAGCAATAAGCTAAGATGATCTTTTGGCAACAAGCAGTATTTCACTCAGCCCATCCCCACAATGACAACAGAAGAGGCCCAGATCCATCACGCAGGACAAGGTATTGCTACGTGACTTTCAGACTTCGAAGTCAATGGAAACCCCTGGAGGCCACAAGGTCTGCAGAGCGACATCCCTCCCTCACAGATAACGACTTTCAGACTACATCTGATGAAAAAGAAGATGTCTAAAACTGCAGTCTGTCACTCATTCCAGGGCTTAGCTGTGTTTCAAGGCGCTGTCTCCTATACACAGGTAGTTCATAAATATTCATTTAAATGCAAACACAGTTGCTTAGCATTTCCCTTGGTAAGCCAGCCCAGTGGGAACGTGGCTCATTGAGATTCATTCCTAAACAAAGTTATAAAAAGCTTTGAAAGTGAATTTGCCTACAGGCTTGTTGTCTGCTGCTTTCTTTTATAAAACCAAGGCCTTATGGTTAGAGCCCCGGACTGGGATCCAGCACTCAGGACTCATTCCCAGGTATCATTTACCTGCTGGGTAAACTTTAGGCAAATTCCCGTCTGTGCCCCATCTCTCTCTTTTAATAACCAGAATAATGACACTTAGTCTCTTTTATGAAAGTGTTCCACAGCATGTACGACAAAGGGATGTAATCACAAGGCATTATTAGTGCTTCACTAACCTTTTCTTGCCACGTTATCCTCTATAGAGGATGACACAAAGGCTTCTTTTCCAATTTGTTGCTACCTGTAGAAGTACTCTTGAACTTGGCTTTGCTATGGTCATCAGCCTGCTGTGTAAGTCATCCCTGGTGCTTTATCAAAACCATTTCAAGTCAATCCTTGCATTAAGGGAAAGCCTCACTTTTACCCAGGACAGGATTTCCAGAGAGCTGCCAGCAGCTCCAAAGCTCCAGCTCTCATTGGCAGTGTGCTGACCCCATTGCTGTGCACAGCACTGCCTGGCTCAGAGCAGGGAGGGGGACAGGAGGGAACTCACAACTCCACATCTTTAGGAAAGGCCACTCAGCCTGCAGCGCAGCTCTGCTTCCTTGTGGGCTGTAACCACCCCCGACAAGGAGAGCCTTAAGGAACCCAATACTGCTATCAGCTTTCTTTTGTGTTTGTTTTTAAGGAAAGGTACTTCAACTTCAGAGATCTGCAAGTTGGAGGTGCTTTCTGTAGCCCAGCATTCTAGTGCATGGGATAATGAGCATCTCTTCACAATACAGGATTTTCAAGAATGCCCAAGTCAACATCCATATCAAAGGGGTAACAATCCAGAAAGTCCCTGGCTGAACAGGTCAGGGCCTGCCCACGGAAAATGCAAAATGCCTTCCTAACAGAGGTACAAAGACTGGCTACAAAGCTGTTGCCTAACTGCAAGCTGCATACCCTCACAGGGGGCCAGCAAGGAGAAACTCTGAGCTGACCGAATTTACCATCCTCAGAACACCCTGGCAAGGCAGGGTTACCTGCATGGTACAGCCGTTTGCTTTGATCTCTAGGAAACATTTGTTCATTCAAAAGCCCGTTTGCTAATAGCAGTGACAGTTTATAGAAAAGGGGTAGGGATGAAAAAAGAATTTCCCCGTGCTTCATTAGAAAAGCCATGCAGCCACTGGAGGATTCATACATTAACTGCCTGCGGCCAAATGACACTATTTGCCATAGCACCCCACAGCGTGGGTGCTGGAGCATCCCGACAGGCTCTGCAGCAGGGATGCTGCTGGTGGAGACGTCACAGAGCCCTGGGAGCACAGATCTCCTCAGCCATCCCCTTCCCCATCTCCTCTTGCTCCTGTCTGCACAAAGAGGCGCTCGGAAGCAGCAGAGATGCTCACAAGCAGATCAAAGGGCCTTTCCTTCCTCTGAGGTCTCAGTCTGCGTTCTTGTGGAAAGAAAGAAACAAACCAACATAACAAAGAACCCAAACTCTCAAGAGGGACCGAACACGCGAGGTTTGTTCTTTTCCTTTCCCATGTACGGAATATTATCAGCACAAATTCAGTACCGTTAATTCCAAGCATTCAAAACCCACACCTTGGTCCCATTTTGCAATGACAAAATGATGTTAAAAAAAACCTTGTTTTGAAGTTGCACACAAGTTGGGTGGGGGGTGTCTGCCTCTGTGTTTCCATTTTCTACAACGCACTTCACACACACAATGTGACACAGCCACAAGGACTTCAACCAGACTTTTTTTTCTTTAATAGCTTGAGATTCTCAGCTTTCATTTGGTGCCCCCATTTCCAGCAGCTGGGATTTATGCAAAAGAACATCAAATGCCACAGGGCTTATAATCAAAATAAAATAAAATCACGAGAGCTCCCAGCACTGCAGTTTTGCAAGCCTCACTGGGCTGTTCTCAGCCAGCACAAGGCTGCTCAGCCCCTGCCATGAGCACAGAACAGACTGTGGGGGAGGAAGGGGACAGAAGAGCACCCAGTGGCCGAGGGCACCGCATCCCTGCGAAGGGTTTATATGCTGGAAGGAGTTTCATGCTGGATGCTGTCTTGTCGCCAGTCATATCCCTGGGGAGTTGCCGAATCCCTCCATGCACAGCCTGTTTTTTGCACTGGGGTTCTGCTGGTTCGGCATGGTACAGATCAGGTCAAAAAGCAAGAGGAATCTGCTGGTTTATGCCTTCATTTCAGAGCTGTATTTACATGAGGCTGTGCCGAGCTACACCACTTCCCTTCACACAGGAAGGTTCTTGCCCCACAAAAACTGAATGTCCCCTTCTGTTACCCACAGCACACTGACCCCAAGCCCTGCCTGGCACAGAGAACTTCTGGGGTCCAGGCAGCCAAAGAAGGCCAGGTTTCCTTTCATATTTTCCATGTAAACTCAAAACTCAGGAGTCAGACATCAGTCAACAGACTGATGAAGCAAGAGCACCTCTCAGGACTGTCAGCTGAGACTGCCTGTGGCACAGATCAAGCCATAAATTATCCAGACCAAGGCACTCCTGCCATCTGGGAGGCTGGGCACGTCTGGAGCTTTGGCAGCCAGGATGTGCCACAGCTCCTGCCCCTTCCCAAACACTGCCATCCCTGCACAGCAAACCATAGGACACAGACCCACGGGAAGCCTAAACTACAGCAGGGTCTGCACACCCATCTGCAAAGGGAACACTGGCAAATGGTCCAGGAAAGCATTGCTCAAGTGACTGCACAGATGGAAATCGAGGTGGGATGGAAAAGGCCAGATGAGGAGACATTGATATATGGCTGCAGATTTTCCCCCACAGGGCTGGCGACCAAGAAGCAAAAACCTCTGACTTCAGAGAAAGCCTGAGAGCAACTAGAAACCTTCCAGCAGGCCAACAGGCCGGCGTATTTACTTCCCCTAAAGCCAGAAAAACACTACAACATTAATAGGAACGGCCTGAGCACTGAAATGGAAATGCCACTCAAATAATTAAATAAAGAGAACGATCCTCTCTCCGAAACAATGGCCAGGGCTGTCACGTCTGCCCTCACGGGACAGCCTCATACAGGAGGCTCTTGTTCCATTAGATTCAAAGAGGCTGTTTAATTTTAGTAGGTCGGCGAGCATATGACATTACAAAGCACTTCGTAGACAAAAGCGGAGCAGAGATCTGCAATCCATTTTCCCTTCAGGAAGGAAGGCAAAGCTTCCTATTGCAGGAAGGAGGTGGAAGGGAAAGGGGAGGGGGCTGACATTTCAGTGAGCTGGCGAGGCCGGCCAGCGTGTGCAGGACAGGCAGATCAGGGAGGGAAAAGCAGAACTCAGTGCAATATAAGCCTGCACCACCTCTCACCTCGGCTCGTTATACATTTGCTTGTTTCGTTTTGCCAGGATTTATGTGGCTTCAATTGCAATCTTGTCCAAATCCTGAGTCCCCTCCTAGGAAAGATGTTTGCCTTTCACTTCCTTAGAACAGCACATATTTACTTTTGTTCTCCCATATGCCCAGCATCTCAGCACCATGATTAGCAGCCATCTAAATACAGCGCGTAAACCTTCTCCCTCGAAGCACAGAAGGAAGTGCAAGAGCATTTCTGCAGCATTGCTTAACCAAGGAAAGAAGGTATGAGCTGTGTTATTCCAGTGGCAGATCTGCAGCTCAGCCTGGGCTCTGCCCTCGGTTCCAGGCAGGCAGGACAAGCAGCGAGGTACAGCTCACGTCCAGGGAAGGTGCCTTCCATGCTAACCTTCCTCTGGCACTAAGGAATTAATAGAAAAAGAGGAGTGGGGGAGGAGGGGCTGGGTAGAGACTGTACCAGCTGGACTAAAGGAGAGCAATGCAGGAAGTTGCTAGTCCAGGCCTTGCACCAGCCCGCTGGGTTGCATTTGGTGTCCTTTTGCCTGTGCCCACCTGCTTTTTTGTGCGCTGAGCCAGAAATAACGGATGAGCCAAAAAAAAGGGGGTTACACTTTCATCAGATCCTTCAAATGAGAGGGTGGGTACAAAAGAGAGGCTCTCATCAGTGCTGCATTTTCTACCTTTTCAAGCTACAAAAGGTGAAAAATCTAACAACTCTGAGTTTCACTTCAGCTTAAGATCTCTTGATCTTCCCTGGGCTATTTATAAACGGCTTTGGTTAGATGACAGTTTGCCTGTCGAAGAAAGTGGGGAAAATCCAGCAAGCAGAGCACAGTCTGCAAGTCATTTCTAATTCACACTGATGCTCAAAGGTGCTCCAAAGGTTCTGCTTCTCTGTGAGTTACCCATTTCTTCTTTGCCAAGCTAGAAATGTACAATCATTCAGGTCACACATAGGAGAAACTCTTACCCACAGCTTGCCTTCCCAATAAAAGGCTCCCAGCAGCTTGACGATGTGCGGGTGATCACAGGTTGCCAGTATTTCAATTTCCACCATGTAATCCTCCAGTTCATCTTCATTCTTTGTTTCAATGACTTTGGCAGCTGCTAAGGCACCGGTTTCCTTATTCTTAGCCTGCAAGACAAAACCAGCATGAGCAGGTGTGGATAGCGAGGAACACACAGAGCCTGCACAGCTCCTGCTCCTCCAGGACCATCCGTAACACAAGGATGGGAGCCTGCAGATGCACTGCTGCTCCCTCAGGCCTGGGCAAAGCTTCAGACAAAGGATCAACACTGACAAGGAAATATCTCCATTTGTTTGTAGTGTGAGAAGATATGGAAGCAAGAAGATCTCAGAATCTAGAGGTTCTCTGATCTTATTGTAGGCGATAGCTCCAAAATCCAACCAAACTCACAGTACAGTACTCAGCACGCTCCCTACACTCCTCTTCCTCACCGGGACGGTTTTCTGCAATGCGTAGTGGAAACATTGGGACGTCCTCCTCAGCAGGTAAAGCACCAAGAAGGGTGCGTCTCGATTTCTGAAGACTGTCCAGCATTCCTGTGACCTTCAGACCTGTGACTGTTCAGACCACGCTAAGAGAAATACTCTCAGCAGGCTGCCCCGCTATTTCATACAGCCCCATTAACCTGTTTATTGCAACTTGCTTCACATAATACATAGAAATGTGTCCAAACCTTCGTCCTGCTGCCTGGGAAACCTTGCTGACTTTCTTCTCCTTTCTAGGGGAGAACAACTCTGCTGTTCTAAAGGTTGGCAATACTGCCTAGAAAGAGAGCACCAACAGCTGCCTAGGAACTGCTGTGCCTGTAGATGCTATGCACCAGAAGAAGGCTGCTAATGCAGCATGGGGCACCACGCAACACTGATGTCCATTTGCTTCCCCCAAAACTGTCACGGCCAATGAGCACTTTGCAGTTGGAAATTTACACAACTTTCGCAAAAATTTGCAACCAAATGCAAAAAAGGGTGTGTTTGCAAGACTGACTGTACAAAGAACTCTGCTATCAGAGCATCACGGGCTGGGTGAGGGGGCGAGATGGAGCAGCTGACTCAGGAGCTGACTGCCATTCCCAGAAGTGCATTGAATCAGCAGGCTGAGGAACAGGAGAAATCCCCATTAGCTCACACACTCTGCTCCTCCACTGACACAGGGGAGCTCTTGCAGCATGACTTCAGCTCAATCCCCTTTTCTACTCCTCGTCCCTCCTCCACGCTGCTCCTCCTAGGATAACGACTGCTTCCCAAGGCAGAAGTCATGCTGGAGATGCTCACGCTGAAGGAGCAGTTGGGACCTTTTTTACTGCCTTGTGGTTTATGTATCTGTGTCTGCAAAACCTACATGGGAGCTTACAGCAGGATTAATTCCTAATGTAAACGCTATGAACCCTACTGAAGAGTTTTACAAGGCTTAGGTGAGAATGTTGCTGTGTATTACCAGCCAGGCTGTGGGAGGAGGAGAGAATGAGGGGAAAGCCATATAATGGAGAGAGGGAAAATAAGGAGGTCCTGACTGCTGAATTCACACTGGTTGGCACAAACATGTGTGTCTTTACCACTGGGGACAAACACATTTCTACCTGGGCCTGCTGCCCAAATGCAAGACAGTGGCTCACGCTAGTTTCAGAAGAAAATCGTTTTTTGTTGGGTTTGTGGGCATTTTTTCCCCTCCAATTTGTGTCTCAAGTTGCCAGCAGCTACCAGAGGAGAGCAGGCAGGCTGGGGCAAGGTGCCGGGGCAGAAGCAAGCACAGGGAATGCATGGTGCTTCCCAAGCTCCATACCAAGTGCCCCACCATGTTTGCTCTGCACTTACTGCCCTGGGAGGGAGCCAAGGAGGGAAAGTAAATATTGTGAGACAAGGTGGGGCTTCCCTTGGACGCCAGCTACCGCATGGGCCCACCAGCGGGGCTCAGACCAGGACTCAGGGGCCCTAAAGGCACCCACGGAGCCCCAGGGGCTCAGCCTACTGCCAGGGGAGCAATGGCTCTGACTGCCCAGGCTGCTCGCCCTCCGCAGACACGTGGTGCCCACGGTCCCTGCACCCCTGCAGCCTCAGCTGGCACACGGCTGTGGTTGCAGAAGCTGTGCACACAGACCTGGAAGACACAGTTCTGCAAAGCAGGCTGTGGGCGGGGGTGCAATCGCAGTCCACGATCTGATCTTATTCATCATTACCCGTGTTACTAACGGTGAGTAGCCCAGCAACCTCCACATACGGCTTCCTCTCCAGATATGAGCCTGTTAGCACACCGCTTTGCCTTCGGTCCAAACACGCAGTGGGTGAAGTCACGCTGCTGGTGGCAGAACCGCAGAGCAAGAGTTGTTTTCTCCTTGACTCGCCTGGCCCTGCGCAGCGCCTCACCATGTGGTGCACAAGGCCAGCAGGAAGGGCCGTGAGGTCCATGTGGCTTTGGCACAGGCCACGAGTTCTCTTACATGTTAGAACAGCAATTCTGGGACCTTACAGATGCCCACAGTATGATCAGCTGCTGCCCTTCCCCAGGAATAAGGACTGACTTGAATGAGAGCAGTTTCCTGGCCGCTGCTGCAGACACGAGGGTTGCAGTTTTGCAAGGGACGGAGTCCCACCAGCTGCACAAGTCGGCTTTCACTACAACAAAGCCCCTCCAGCATGATGATGAGACCGCTCCCCACACACTATGAGCACCCACACCCCACCAGGCAGCACTGCCGACCCCTTCCAAGCTGCCCACGATCTTGCCAAGCTCCAACCCAGCCCTCTGCACTCCCACTGTGCCAGCCCTGCAGCAGCGAGGGACAGCTGTCCCCCATCAGCAGGCAGTGTGTGTGACACAGCCCCGCACTGTAGCAGCCAGATGCGTACAGGCAATGTCAAATTTTGGCTAAGCGTGCTGTGCGGTCTCTGTAACTCACATCTGGCAATTTCCTCCAGCTTCTCAGCTAGTATTTTCCTGCATACAGCATATTAAAACAGAGACGTTCTTCCAGGAAGGTTTGTTTGGATGCTAAATACGCCAAATGCTTACACTGCTATCTCTGCAAGCCACTTTCAGACATCTGAGACAAGCAACGATCCTTTAGCGCTTAAAGGCCTTTTCTGATTTCTACTCGTCCTCATGCAATAAGTCATAAACTGCTCCAAGACATCAGCACCAAGCAAAATACAGATTGTTCCAACCTCAAAATGCCAAACCAGCAGTCACACAGAAGCAACCTGCACCTCCAGCCTGTGAGCTGCTGACCTGGGCAAGGGGAAACAGTGCCAGGCTCAGGAAGGCAGCATCCACTGCTTGCTCTCTGAGAGCTGGAAGATTGCATCTCTACAGCTTCACCTCCATCAGGAGCTGCCATGAGGTGGAAGCCCTTATTTTGCAGCAAGGGAAATGAGAACAACTCTCACGATAGCTATTTTCTTTATCTTTTCATTTCTTTGGGATTTAAAAACAGTAATAGAGAGGAAAAGAAAGCCAGGATGAGTCGGGAGTACCCTAGGTTGACTCACCAGCAGTGAGTTTGTTAGACAGCCACAGCATTTGAAATGACCTCTAGAGAATGTGAAGATGAAGAGAGAGTTTCATTTCCTGCACAAAATACTCCAAAATGCACACTCTGATGAATTAGTGTTTCCCAGACCAGCAGATTTTCCACTGAAATTTGTGGGCTGAAGAGAAAGAAGAAGCCAGCTGGTGAGATCCCAAGAACAGAAACTGTTTGATGCCAGTCTGTGACCTATGGCTGGTCAGTCAAAAATAAAAATAGTTAAATTAAAAAAAATATCCACTTCCACCATGTATCTCTTCCACTGCTGGGCATTTTAATGCCATGGATTATTTGTCCCTGAAGTGCTAATTAGCACAAAATATAGAGCAGACAGCTGCCAGCGTAGCGCCCAGGATGTGCTGCTGAGCTGTAGCTGGATTCATTACAGTCCTGGCATTTAAAACCCGAAATGCCCTTCTGGCCCTATGTGCCTTTTTGCAAATCAACGCATCGCGCAGACACAGGCTGACAGGTCTGTGCAGAGACAGCAGGGGGGCATGCAGTTCACAGGAGAACATGAATCAAATAAAAGTTACCCAATAAACCACTTCCAGAAAGCCATGCCAGGAGCCAACATGCGGGATATAAAGCAAAAGGAAGGAAGGATCTTGCTGCAGCCCTCTGGAAAAAAGATGGGTGAGGGGCATGCTGCTCCCAAACACACTGGGAACACCAGGGAACAAGCACTGCCATTCCTTGGAGGCAGAGGCATAGAGAAAGTGCTGCCCACTTCAAGGATGTAAAGGGTAAGAGGTGGCTGTTCAGGTGATACAAAGGGCTGTTTGGTCTGCCTATGACTCAGCCTGTTGTGAAACCTGGGCTCTGACAAACACAGGAACTACTTAAAGTTCTGTAAGAACTCGCTGCCGGAAGGCAGATTGTTCTGTCCTTCCTCAGGCAGCACCCTGCCATGGCACAGAGTGCTTGATGGCAAGCACAGGGACTGTCCCTGTGAGCTCTCACCCACCAGTGACAAAGAACGGAGCTGGCAGCCAGCGTGCTCCAAGTGGTGCCACAGGAGTTCTGCCCGTGCTGCTCACCAGCGTGGTGTCCTGGGAGCTTCCTGAGCCCGGGATCACCCTTTCAGAGCTGGTTTGCAATGATGTGCAGTCGTGTTTCTGTCCCTCCTGTGTGCTGCGAAAGTTGATGCCCCAGGTATTACTGAGCTGGGGAACCAAGAGAGAGAAGCTCCTCCTCAGCCTCCTTCTAGTGGATGCTGTATTTGGGGATTGATGGTTCTGCCTTGGTTTTCCACGCAGCAAATTCTTGTTGTGTGTCTTTGTACGGAAGCAACTGAACGATTAGGTATTTCTCAGGGATAGCATAATGATTAATTGCCTTCCAATGAACTCTGCCTGAGCTGTCTGCATCAATAAACACAGAGCAGACAGGCACAAGTCAGTATTCCTATTATTGCCAAATAATCAATGGGAGCTGAAATTACTTTCATGTCCGATGAGCCTCACAAAGCCACTTCAGTCTGCCGCAATAACTCTCTTTAAATTATTATTATTGTGTCTTTGGTTTTTCTGTTTTGGAAATGCTGAATTCACCCCACCCAAGAGTACCAGGCAGCAGAGCTGGCAG